AATAAAGCACAAGCCGAAAATGAATTGAGCATCCTTTTCCTGAAAGTCATACATAAAGTACTTTGGAAGAAATTCCCGGGAACAATATGAATATAATAGTTTGACCATTCAAGTCATATCCATTTTGGAGGTTTTGCTTTCATAGCTATTGCAGCTATTACTGCATTTTGCATTTGAAGGCTCGCCAATCGCCATGCATTTCATTGCAAAGCTATTATAGGTGAAAGGTTAACGCACTAAAACAGGAAGTGTAGTTTTTCGAGCTTATGACATTTCCATCTGTCCAAAAATCTTTAAAAAAATAAAAAATAATAGATAAAGTCATCAAGCGTATAGTTCAAGGTAAGTGTTCTTACTAGTCCTTGATCCTTGCAGCTTTCTAATTGCATAATCCTTCTCTCAACTTGTACAATAAGGAGTCTCTTTGAATTCGAGCAACTCTTCCCCTGCCTTCCGCTCTAGTATCTGATTCAAAATTAAAAAATTATTTTCAATGTGCGAGAGATGCAGGTCAGATACATACATCCATACAATTTTCAGTTTGTAATTTGCATTTTCTTCTCTTTTGGTTTAAGGAAAGCACTAAACCGCATTATCTGCTCAAGTGCACAAGTGTTTGTATATTTATCCCAAACTAAAGTAGACTACAGAGAAATAAAAAGCCAATCGTACCTGTTTAAACCATGCACGCACCAACATGATTACGACAAGGGAGAGGAAAAAGGCTGGTAAAGCGGCTAGGATAGCAAAGTTAATTTCATTTGCTCGAAGAATTTGATCCAGCTCAAGCATTGCCTGATTTGAAAAGCTTCTATCAGGGAAAAGAATGAATAGAAATTGACATCTAAGAAGAAATGATAAACGGATAACAGCATTAGCCTATTTAACTCACTCTCAATGTCGAGTTTTAGCTTCTGGACCTGAAATCATAAAACAAAATGTCATATGCCAAAACCAGACACTATTATCATTCTCTAAAAAACTAAAATGCCTGTTGTGACACTAGCATGTGAGATAGTACGGTATGTTATACCTGGATAAGTAAAGCACGGGCAAGCTCCCCGGAGAGAAGATTTTGGAGTGGATGCATCACTTCTTTTTCATATCTACACTAACAAGTATCGCTTCAGAGCGTATTTGCAGAACCTCAATAATAATGCATGCTTACATCTTGCACAAATACAGATCAAATAACTGACCAAAGTTTGGCACTATATATTTTCAGATAAAAGTTCAAGATTACAGATGCAGTACAAGTCCATGGGTAGCTAATTAGCTATCAAATTGCGATGCATTGTGTAAGGACTTTGTCTTACATGCCACACGAGATTCACTTTTGGATTCAAGTAATAATGATCTAATATATCTAAGGTTTTTAATAACTAAAATACCAGACCAAAATATAGGTATTTATGAAAACTTAGGTAGAAGTTGCTTTTTCAAACAAAAGCAGCCATTTTTTAGAGAGGCCAAGCTGTAAGGAAACATTAATTCAAATTTTCTTTTTTTGCAAGCATTGGCAAAAAGGAAGGGGGGGGGGGGGGGGGGGGGTTGTTCGCACCTTTCCATTACTACTTCTAGCATTTCATTGTCTGTGGCATTCTCTGGAAGCATCGTGCCTTTTGTTTGCTCGGTGAAAGCTCGCAACATTCTGCAAATCATTTCATAATCTTTTATAGATAATGTTGAGGTAAGGAAAGCAATACTTCAGCAATATTAAACTCCTTGCGTACATCAAAATTCTATTTACGGTTAGGGAACGCACAGCACAGCAATCAGTGTAGCGGATCAGTTGAAGAGAGAAACAGCAAAACATGCAATGGATGATTCTAAAAGAAAAATGGGAGGACTAGAAATGTATAACTGCTGCTGGTGAGAAAAGGATGGAAACTGGTGAAAGAGAGTTGTGAGGCTAAGGTTGGACATTTTGGTGTGAAAGGGTGAAGATCTGATAGCACTTTATATAGGAAACAATGGTACAAGATTAATTTTGTCACATTATTATCATACCAAAAGCAATATACTATTCAACGATTAAAAAAAAAAAAGACAAGCTTGGCGGTCAACAAGTCGGACATTCAAGGCTCAAGCTACTTGTGAGCCAGTTTGCTCATATGCAAAACTAGATTACATGACTTGGATATAATGTTTTCAACAACATTCAATCAGCAATTCAGAGCTCGAAAAATGCTCTCAATTCGCAGTAGTTAACAAACCTGTGTAGAGAGTTAGCAGTTATCTGTACTTCTTCAGGTTCCATTGCGCCTTTCTGCCTCTTCCTGAATGTATGGAAAAGATCATCTCTTATCGAGAGAAGCTGATGGAAAAATAAAAAGACAAATCAAATTCAGCATAGATGAGAAAAAAATTCAGTAAGCTGAATGGCATAGGCATCAATCAGACAATCACAGATGCCAAATACAATAGGAACTCAGTTGAAACAAATCTCTCAGTATTTCATTACTAACATTATTAAAAGAAATTCTGAGTGTTTGAGGAGATTATTTGGTCAAAGAGATTTATCGCTGAGATATGGAATTTCATGAAAAAAAAAAATGAGTATTGAGATTCAATATTAGTCATGATATGCTGCTCACCGGTTGCTCTACATGATCATTCCAAAAACTAATTGTTGATTCTTTTGCTTCACAAATCCAATTGTCAATGTCAGAACTCCCCATTAAACGGCTATGGCGGAGAACCCATAAAGAACAGATAGAGATGCCAACGATCCCACACGTATAGCGCATCCAGTGAAGAGTTACTTTCCTTGGCCTCTTGTGCTTCATAACCTAGGAAAAAATTACAAGCAAAGACATAAAATCCTAAAAATTGAAGGAGAAACAAAATTAACCAGGAGACTAAGTAAAAGTGATAGATAATTATATATGAAATCCAAGAGATACTTTCTTCTCTGTTAATCTTGGAAATTATAAAGCTCTTGTGTGAAAATTAGTAGTTCAGAGATAGTATAACAAAGTAAACAGAAATACAGAATGAGGAACACATAAACTCATAACCAGTTGGTTTGGAAGAATGGCATACCTACTGGGTTAAGAACACCACTTAACCCTTGCATAAATTTATTAAGATTGCTTAATAGTTTGCAGAAAGAATATATGAGCCACAAAGTATCCTTCTCTTTACAAAAAATAACAAAAAAGTAATTCTAGATGAAGATGAATTCGTTATAGAGGATAAAGAAGGGATAGAGCTAATCATTGGTGTTTTATTTTTCCATAGAAGGCAAAGAGTTTTCTTTTCTTACAATTTGCTGCTGTACAAACAGATATATCAAAACCTCTTTCAATCATAGGATCCAACTACTATTGCAGCAAGCAAGAATTAAATCAATGGTTTCTTAAATTTCAAAAGACAATCATGGGAAAAAAAATACAAATAAACACATTATAAATCAGCAAGAACGATTCTAGATCAGAACTCTTACTATTGTAGATAAGTATGACTCCAATTTTTGTAGATTTTGGTTAATAAAGTTGATAGCATCTTGAACCTCACTATCTGTCCACCGAGAACCATCCTCATTTACTTCTGGAAGTTTCTCAAACATTAGAGGACCTGAATAGCTTCCCTCTACAGAAGAGTCTTTCTGCAACAGAGTTGTCAAAATAAAAGCAGTAGGTGTAATCAGCAAATAAAAATATAACTTTGTAATAATTATATTTGAACAATTAAATGCAAGAAAAAAAAACCCCTCACCTGACATGTAGCATGGAAATTTCCAATAGAAGCCTCCAATTGCAGAAACAGATCATTGATCTTCACCAATAATAATGACACTGACTTCTCAGGGTCATTGACTAAATCATATCCAGCTGTGTCCACCACCATGTAGATCTATTGCATTCAACAGAAGTCAGTGATTCATATGCTAACAATATTTGCAGGTTTACAAGTTTAAGTCATCAAAATTCATGGACGGATGGTACCAAGGTGTCTCTTTTCAGCTTTTTATTTATTTATTTTTGGGTACAATTGATGGCAATGGAGATTGGACTTGCAAACTCCTACCTAAAGTCTTAGGCTTAATTAGTGAATTAGTCAACATTCAACAGATGAAGAAATATAACATAACAATACTAAATGGCAACCACATCAACACGGGGATGAGAAGCTGAAGTTATACTGCATGATTAAGAGACCTGCAATCTCCAATTTATTGATTGAGATGTCTTAGTACTTACGATGTGAAGTACTATATCATTAAATATATGGTGTACCATTAATTGGAGCTTCACAATGATATACTAATCTTGTAATTTTCTTTTGCATTTGGAAATATAGGTCATTTTTTACCCACCAAACTAAATGACATAACTGATACCTCTAACAAACACCTAAGTCAATAGCAGGAGTCTTAGTAAAGCTAAAAGAGCATATTAATTAAATGTTTGAATTTTAACAAACGGAAACTATGACACTGATACATGTATACATTAAATTATATTCTTAGTAGGAGAAAAACCTGAGCCAGAAATGTAGCCAAACAGTATCTTAAACTGCTCAACACATTTATTCTCTCAGATATATAAGAGGATGCCAGACCATACGTGTGCTGTTTCCCAGAACCATCACTAACATAATCACGAATCAGTTGAACTGTGCCATTAAAAAATGCACATGGACCTCTCCCACATATCATGAAGTATGCTTTTCGAGCATTTGATTCCTGAGAGTAGATAGGTAAACAAAAAAATTTCAATGATCAAAATTGCTAGAGAAAATTAAGGCCAAATGGAAGTCTACCATAATGAAATACTGGTCACTAACCTCGGCTTTAGATTGCCAAAATTCTAGGTTCTTCTGGATGTAATGCAAGTTTAAGAAAGTGTGTTCAATAATGTTCTCCAAAACGATAAAAATTCTGGAATTTTCAGATGCAGTCCTGCACATATGAAACCAATAGAACCTTCTTAAAAAAATCACACCAGTCTATATTTCTAACTAAACCCCACAATGCCAAACTTGAAACACATGAAACAAACTAGTGACCGAGAAAGAAAGTAGAGTCTGAACTCTCAAGAACCAGATCAGGGGCTAAAGATGCTAGCCATGGGTTAACAATTTATAGTGTTTTTTTTTTTTTTTTTTTTTTTACTTATCATTAACAATTTATTTCCTTCTTTTAACAATGGAAATTTCCAACGATCATAGCATAACAATACCAGCTTCAATCACAACAAAAAATGAAGCAACAAAATCCCAGCATTTAATTGAAATTAAGCCCTGAAAACAGTCATGATCATCACAAATGAAAGATTTCAAAATTTCTTGGCAATTTCATCAATCAACTGGAGAAGCATTATTATTGGCATACACTAGAACTCGGATATAACAAGAGAGGTAAAAAATTTACATGGAGGAAGAGGAGACCGAGGCTGAGGTAGGCAGAGGGAGGGGGAGGCAGGTCTTTCTGCGTCGGCGCTTAGTGGCGCCGCCTCCTCCGGCGCCGCCGCCATAGAGATTTGAGATTCCAGCGAGCAGGCTAGAGCTGTAGGTAGATGAAGTAGCCGGCAAGAAGCTACGAAGTCGGGTCCAGATATAGTTGGAGTATAATGAGACTATCGCTTTTACGTCCTTCGCCGCCGCCGGCGACGGAGAATCCATTGCTAACTGAGTGATAGCCTGGTAGGTGATCGCTCGCAAATGATATCGTGCACCCGGTCAATTGGTCAACGTTTCGTTCTCTGCTCATTTGGGGTAATTAGATGATAAATAAGAATAATAACTTTTTGATCAAGTAACATAAACAGGTATCACAATTTCTCATCAGATTCCGATTTCCGCTTCCCGCTCCTTGCTTCGGGTGCTTTCTCCAAGGAGAAAAATATTTGGAATCTGGCCCAAATGTCCAATTCCACTGAAATGTAACCTGAAAATGTAATTAGGCAACTGAATGTAACCTAAAAATGCAATTAGGTCACTGAATGAAAAAATGCACAATTAAGTCACTAAACACTCTAAATGTATGCAATTATACAATCCATTTCAAATGTATTATGTATGCAAATGTTTTCATCCATTTCATCATGTTGTCTGCTTACCTCATTGTCTCAATATGACATGTTAAAAAGTGTAATTACACTTTTTTAAAATTTAGGAGCTTAATTGACTTTTCAGGTAATGTTTAGTGACTTATTTGACTATTTTTCTTAATATATATTGTTAATTGAAATTGTAGTAGAATTAAAATAATACGCTGTTATTGCTATAATGAAGCTAGTGTGTGTGAAAAATGAAATTGAAAAACAATGCAATATTGTCAAATGAAACTAAAGTATAATTAAAATGGTACTCACTTCATGGATCATACTACTACATGCATCATGTTCCACGATAAAATTTGCCATAATAATTACAATGTGCCTAATTGCCTAAATGAACAATCGTTGTATCGTGGACCCTGATCCAATACACAAAATTCATGTTCATAATATGCATACACATAAACACAATATAATGAAAATGACCCGCATGGGCAGTTCAACTGGTCATAGAGGTGAAACTTTAGAAGAATGACCAGGGAGCAACCTCTCAAAGTGAGTGGGGTTCCTTGTGCGGGGTTCAACCTTTTGGATTCTGTGTATTACACAGCTGGGGACACATAAACACTTAACATAATGCACAGAATTCATACTCATAATGTACATAATTCATGATTATTATATTGTGTTTATGTGTATATATGTGCATTATATGAAGTCAAATTCTGTGTATTAGATTAAAATCCTTAGTGTATTGTGGACCCTGGTCCACGATATAATTTACGGCAAATTATGTCCTGGACCCGTGTCCACACTGAATTGTGGACACGGGCCCAAAACGACGTCGTTTTTTAAAAAAAACGCGTCATTTAGTTAAAAAAAAATCGCGCGTGTTTTGCCGTTAACGGCGTTATTATTATTATTTTTTTGGATTATGAATGTACAGTTATGCCGTTATGAATGTACAGTTATGCCGTTATGAATGTATAATTATACAATTATGAAATTATGAACACAGAGCTCTAACATTATGAACTTACAATTATGAACATATATAGTGATAAAATTATGACCATGGAGCTTTAAAATTGTGAATATAGAGCTTCGAAGATTATGAATGTACAGTTATGGAGTTATGAATGTACAGTTATAGAGTTATGAATCTACAGTTATGGAGTTATGAATCTACAGTTATGAGATTATGAATCTACAGTTATGGAATTATGAATGTACAATTATTGATCGAATTCTGAACTTACAATTATGAACATATAGTGATAAAATTATAAATATAGAGCTTTAAAATTGTGAACATAGAGCTTCGAAAATTATGAATGTACAATTATGGAGTTATGAATGTACAATTATGGAGTTATGAATGTACAGTTATGGAGTTATGAATGTACAGTTATAGTGTTATGAACGTACAATTATGGAGTTATGAATGTACAGTTATTAACATATAGTAATAAAATTATGAACATATACTCTTATAACGAAGCGGTCTGAAATATTAAAAAAAAAAAAAAAGAAGATAACAGTGCTTGCTGGACACGGGTCCAACGCATAACGATTGATAATTTACCGTAAATGAACTAGGCTAAGGTATTGGGCCAAGAACACTAGAGCCAAGCTTTGGGCCCTCATTTGCCTTCTCGATTGGGCTCAAGTCCATTGTTGGATGTTTGGACAGATTAGCCAATTATCTCATTAATTTCATATCATTTTTGTTAGGATCTATTTCAAAAAATTTTATATAATCGATGCAAGCAGACTACTTTCACATTTATGACTCAGAAACATCAAGAAGATTGAACAATCCTAGATGGACGGATGTGGTAGCTTCGTGAGAAAGTGCAGACTAATCTCATTTGTCTACCTAAGATGATTATGGATTGAAAATTAAACAAAAATTGTGTTAACATTTTTGTAATTACGAATGTGCATTTGAAAACACTTGATAGTGTATATGCGGATCGAATAACTGCCAGTGCACTTACATGTGTGTAGCATTAATTATCCGTGAATGCATTATCATATATTTTATTTTCAAATGCCGTCGTAATTATAGAAATGTCACCCTCATTTTTTCCAATTTCCCATTATTCATTGGACTATTACATGTTTGCAAGTTAGTCAGATAGTGATTGGAATTAAAATTTATATATAGTCACAATAATAGTATAATACTACTTGTTAATAATTGGGTTTAAAAAACAATTTCATTCACAATAATTTCAATTCATTGCACATTATATGGGCAATCTTTGTTAGTATTCTTCTCTCAAAATTAAATGTTGAATCTCCATCTTTAAGCGCCCTCACACCCGGGCTCGATAGAGAATTTTGGAGGATGTAAATCACAATAACTCATCAAAAGCTCAGCAGATAAGGCCAAATACCGGTACACACAAGGGTTCTGTCCATTTTAGACATAATAATTCCCATGCTGTCTCTACCAAGGTTCGAATCTTGATCTCTTCTCCCAAATATTGCCTATTGAACCAGTGAATTAAGTCCGTGCGAGTTCTATGTATTCTTGATTTGGTAGTACGGAGTATTTGGTATGCATGTGAAGTTGTTTAATTTGTACAAGATCCTAAGTCAAGAATGAGTTAGAATATAACAACTAATAATGTACTAAGACTATGTGGTCTAATGGAACCCGGGTTAGACTTTCATTTGGAATGTTATACGTTTGAGTCTTAGTGGAGGTATTATTTGTTTTTTGTGTTTCAGTAGATTGAGAAAGTACATTATTATTGGTTCTTTGTGTTTTAGTAGGTTGAGAAAGTATATGAACAAATACTACATTGTAATAGAGCCAGTAAGTGGTAATGTAGCTAGTAGCGAATTGAATATGCAACTTTATTTCTTTATATTTACATAATATTCAACATCATGTTTTAATGTGGACATATTAAACTTGACTCTCTCTACGACTCTGCCCAACAATAATTGAGGAATGTGAATACTAAAATGATGAAAAATAGATGAGGACTAGCATATATTATGTACAAGTTGTTTATGTCATGAATTTTTAAATAATATTTTTTACTCTAATTTTGATCTCAAGTTATATATATTTAAACAATAATTTTGATACTTTTATTAAAACTCATTTTGATTACTAAATAATTGAATTGAATCCATTCCCACTCTTTATAACTCTAACAGTACTAAAAGGAAAAAAAAAAAATATTTAGACAGATTTTTTTTACCAATATTTATCTCATGAATGATATGACATGTATTAATTATTGCATTGTTTTATATTTATTAATTGGCATATCTGAAAAATAACTGGTAATTGGCATATCTGAAAAATAACTGGTCTCATTACAATGTAATTGTGAATCAAGATCAGATGACATAAAACTTCAGGTGAGAAGCGTGAGCTAATCTGATCCATCTATTTGGAATCATACTTTATTTACTCAACCATTGTAACCCTTTCGAAATAACTATTTAATATTAAGTTTGGTGCAACATTTTTTTCATAAGTTATTTAGATAGTGATGGGATCAAGATTTATATAGTCATGATAGTACTACTTGTTAATTTTTGTGTTTAAAAAATGAATTCAATCAAGCTCTTAAACTCTGAAATTAAATGGGTTATGGAACTATCAACCTGCAGATTGACTGTTTTAGCATGCTTCATGCAATTTCATAGCGTATATAACAAGTCTTTCCAATGAATTGGGCAATTTATATCCTACACCAGGACGCGCATTGCATTGTGCCTCTGATGCAAAATGACGTCGTTTTAGATTTTTTTTTTTTTTTTTTTTTTGAAATTTCACTACCCTGTGCTCGCGGTTAATTTTCTGTAAAAAAAAAATCTCATGTTATACTAGAATACACATAATTGTATACATGAATGTACATAATTGTATAACAAAATGCACATACTTTTTTTTTTTTTTTTTTTTTTAAAGATAATACATATAGTCTAACATAATACATAATATACATAAACTTTTAACATAATAAACATCAACTCTTAACATAATACACATAAATTTTCTGTTTCGGATGTACATAATGTATAAAAGAGATGTACATGATTGTATAAAAAATGTACATAATTGTATAAACAAATACACATAATTGTATAAATAAATACACATAATTTATAAATAAATACACATAATCGCGTCAACTCGCCACATAATTTACCAAAACGATGTCATTTTGGGAGACACGAAATGCACAATGCTACGCTCGTCGTGGTGCAGGGTATAACGATTGAATTAAGTGTACCCAGGCCAAATGTGAGTGAAAGTAAATATACTATATTTAGATTGGTTGATATATCACGAATTCGTAGATTTTGGATGGATTTTTGTAACTTTAACGACCAATGTTTAGCAATAAATTAAAACAATTGGCAAAATGGATTTCTTTCTCGGGTTGATCAAACATGTGTCTAGCGGATATTTGAAGATGTGTTTTGAGCGAAATTCACATGACTCAAGCAAGTAAATGACTGTAAGGAAGTAAATTAATCTAAGTTGTCATAATTTCCACGAAGAGTCAAAATAATTAGAACATTGTGACTACCAAATCAACTGCCTGACTAACTTGTTATTGCCTCCATTATATACCAAATTGTTCGACCAACTTGCTTGCCCCCTTTATATATAAATAATATATATATATATATATATATATATATATATATATATATATATATATATATATATATATAGAGGCCTGAAGGACCGTCCAGGAGAGAACTGAGAACCATCCAGCGCGCGCCACGTGTCATTTGGTGCATGTAAATATGTTATATGTGCAAGTAGTTGGTGCACCTTTGCAAGTAAAAAGTACAGGCAATGCACCTACGTACTTTCACCTACAAGTGCATGTAATTTTGCTTTGTTAACATTCATTGGTCTGAGTTCATTCTGTTTGACATCGCTTTTGTTCTTACAGAGGAGTTCAACGGTTAGTTAATACCGGTGAAAACCACCCGCAAACATTCATGCATCTACTTATAACTATAGGTGCACGCACCTAGTTATAACTATAGGTTCTGGACACGTGGCACGCGCTGGATGGTTCTCAGTTCTCTCCTGGCGGGCAGTTCGCACCTGATCGTGATCCTCTCTCTCTCTCTCTCTCTCTCTATATATATATATATATATATATATATATATATATATAGTATGTTGAATACTCTCTTTGATGTGTGCATGGTGATTAGTTTTTTATGGGTGTTAAGATCCAACGTTTATCACTATATAAAAAAAATTATAAGGAGTAACTTATAACGAAAAAACACTTTGTTCCTTATATATTTACTTAATAGCAAGTGCAAGCTAAGCTTTTATAACAGGAGGTTGGACCCGTTCAAGTTGTTGGGTGTTAGTTGGGTGAACCGAGTCCTTTAATTGAAACATGAAACTAACTGCTACGCGTGTATAAGTAAATAAAATTGGGCATTATTATATTGATTTTAGATTAGATTAGATATATTAGGCTAAGTACGTTTCACTATAAAATCTGGCAACCAAAACTGAGAATTCCTCATCAAAGTTATTCCAAAGAGAAATCTTTTACAAAAAGAAGATCAAATTTTATTGTTGAATGGCAATAATGGCCAAAATGTTTTCTACATTCACTACATGCAAACTTCCATCTATTCATAGATCTCATGCATCATCTTCATTTCGCATGTGTTATCACACCACAACTACTACAAGAAGATCTGCCAATTATGGGCCTCCCACCTGGGATTACTCTTACATTCAATCACTCAACACCACTCATTATGCTGTAATTTTGTTCATCTTTTATAATTATTGTTTTTTAAATAATTTCTTTCCATATATATGAAACTAGAAGCAAATTTTGTTGCCAAAATGCTTGCAGGCTGAGGGCTTTGTTATGCGACGCGACGAGTTGAAGGAGAGAGTGAAGGATATGCTGAAGAATGAAGAGATGAGAGAAGTGGAGAAAATGGAGATGATTGATGAGCTGAAGAGGCTTGGTTGTTCTTACCATTTTGAGGAAGAAATCATGGAAGCTTTGATGGATATCTATATGAAGAAGAAGAAGAGTAGTAACAATTACAAGGCAACAGAAGAGAAGGACCTGTATGCCACAGCTCTTGAGTTTAGAGTTCTCAGACAAAATGGCTTTAATATTTCTCAAGGTGATGATAACTTAATAATTTATCTCTGGTAACACCAATCAAGTTGGTCAGACCGTTAACGTTCCAAAAGATTCCCAGTCATCCAAAATAGAAAAATTTCTCTCTCTATATATATAACATTATGGATTGTTGATTGCAGATGTATTTGATGGATTCATGGATGGAAAGAGGTGTGGTTTTAATGCCAGTCTATCTGAAGACACAAAGGGATTATTGAACTTGTATGAATCATCTTTTCTGTCAATGGAAGGTGAAACAAATTTGGAGTTGGCTAGAGATTTCTCTGCCAAGCATCTCAAACATGAACTAAAGATGCCATTACATTGGAGGATGCCGAGGTTAGAGGCCAGAAGTTTCATTGAATCATACGACAAAGGAAAAACAACCTCGAATAATGCCATCCTTTTGGAGTTGGCTAAGCTAGACTTCAACATTGTTCAAGCTGTGCATTTGGAGGACTTAAAATCCGTATCAAGGTACATATTGACCCTGTTTGGTAACATAGTTACTTTAATTATAAGTCAATTTTGACTTATTTAATCAACTATCATCTAACAACTGATTTACCAAATACTTTTCTACAATCAACTAATGTTATCAACTAGTCAAATCTTTTAACCCAATCAACTAACAACTATCAGCTAAAGTACATATTATGTTGTGACTAGGCCAGTGGCAGATCGGAGCCACAATGGGGGCAGCTGCCCCCACTACCCCATCCTCATCCGATCCCATTTATATGTATTGTACATTTAGGTCCATTGTATATATATAGTTAACTTATGAATACAAAATCCAATATAAGCATTTTTTGATGTATGTAGGTGGTGGAAGAAGTCGTATATTGCAGAAAGGTTAACATTTGCGAGGGATAGAGTGGTGGAGAACTTTTTGTGGACAATAGGATTGACCCCCAACCCTAAGTATGTAAACTGCAGAATAATGGGGGCAAAGCTCTACAGTTTCATTTGCGCAGTTGATGATATATATGATATTTATGGTACTTTGGATGAATTGCAGCTCTTCACTGATACCATTGAAAGGTAATATATATTAGTATATATAGCTTATGAAAGTCCTCGTTTTTCAATATTAAAAAAATACTTTAATTTGTTATATATGGTTGTTCTTATATGACGTACGAAAAACATTTGATTATTGTTTCAGATGGGATGATGTAACAAAAGTAGAACATCTCCCGGACTACATGAGGTTTTGCTATTTGGCACTCAACAACTTCGTCAATGAAATTGCATACGATATGCTTAAAGAACATGGCGTCTTTATCTTGCATCATCTCAGAAAAATGGTATTTTTAAATTACTCACTTAACTACAAACACAAATAAGATCGGATAATTTCAAAAAATACAATAGACTCCTGAACAAGCCAAAGTCTTGCAATTGAGTCGAAAGTGACCAATTCACCAAGTTAAAAAGTGACAGTTAACTTTTAAAAAACCCAATTCGACCCCCACCCTACTCCCCTTGGACATCATCATTGGCCTCCAACTGGCTACGTCTATGGTGGGAGACGAAGTACAAACTTGTTAATCGTTACGTTAACGATTAACCTGGAGATCAGAATCAGTCGCTTTTGACCTAATTGCAGGATTATATTTTAGCCTGTTAGTTTAAAGAGTTAATTGTATTTTTTTTAGTTGGATCGGATGACTCAATTACATTTGTTACGTGTAGCTTAATGACTAATCACTACTGGAAATTTGAAATTTCCGACCACCTGAAAATGATCTTAAATTAAGTTGATACCAAAAAGTTCAAAAAGTGGTCGGAAATAGCAACAAAGGTTTTTCCGGATACCGAAAGTGGTCGGAACAAGACTTTCAACTTGATTTATGATCACTTTCAGGTGGTCGGAAATTTCAGAATTTCCAGTAGTGAATTTGACCATCATTTCTTATTATAATATATGATCAGTGGGCGGATCTATGCAAAGCATACTTACAAGAGGCAAAGTGGTACGCAAGTGGATACACCCCAACCTTTGAAGAATACATAGAAAATGCATGGATTACAATAAGCTGTCCTCTAATATTAGCCCATGTTTTTTTCTATGTCAACAACCTTGCCGAGGATGCTGCTGTCCTTGATTGCTTGACAGATTATCCTGAAATAATCCGTCTCTCATCTATCATTCTTCGTCTTGCAAATGATAAAGGAACCTCACCTGTAAGTATATATAAATCTGTTATTAGTTGTGATGATAAAACATTTAGCTATGTTGCAAATGAAGAACCCTAATATACTATACATTTAAAAAATTACCCCTATATCGTATCCGCGTTCTCGCACCCAGCACTTCAACACCCCTTTTTATTAATTGTGATTATAAAATTAAACATCCCGAGGTTACAAATAGACCGCCCTAAATGTATATTTACAAAAGTACCCCTATACCACACTAGTGCCCCCACAACCCCCACCCACTCAGTGAACCTGGTTTGGGTTCTAACCACGGAAACAGGTGTTATTGCTCCACTATATGTTCTAACATATTTTTTTTAATTAATTGTGATGATAAAATATTTGAGGTTACATATTGATCGACAACCCTAACGTTATATTTACAAAATTACCCCTCTACTGTACGAGTTACCCCACACCCCAACCCATCCAGTGGACCTGGTTAGAGTTCAAATCATAGAAACATGTGTTGTGGCTCTACTACGCTCCAATACTACCTGTCATATTCCAATAATATATGAGACATACACAATATTATTATTCATTCCTTTTCTAATTAAGTTTTTTTTTTTTTTAAATACTTTAGTTTGAGATGAAAAGAGGTGATGTCCCAAAAGCAATACAATGCTATATGGATGAGGCTAAAGTTTCTGCCAACGAGGCTCGTGATTTCATTGATTTGGAGATGAATGAGTTATGGAAGAAAATGAATAAAGTTGGAATTGAAGGTGGTAGCCCTTTCTCCGGAACATTCATTGAAGTTGCGATGAACATTGCCAGAATGGCTCAGTGCATGTATCAACATGGAGATGGGCATGGCATCAATAATTTTGAGACTCAGACTCGTATCCAAACTCTACTCTTTGAGCCTATTCCCTTAATTAATAATATAATATAGCCATGAAAATGTGGCTTCTTTGTGGTAGTCAGTTTTGTACATAGCAGCTAGTGCACAAATAAAGTAGATTAGGAGCATCTTATTTGGGATGGTCACTTTTGGGCCATCTCTGTAGAACTTGAGTTTTATTCTATGCATTTCATTTTTTTTTTAAATATAATATAATAAGAGTGAGTCTCTTGTATGTGAGACCGTTGGATTAAGATAAAATGTAATACGTATGTTGAAAAACGTAATATTAATTAATAATAAATTATTTGTTACTTATAATTTATAAGGAGAAGTGTAATACTTTTGAGAAAATAATAATAATAATTTTATATTAAAATGTAATGTCTATAAGTTGATCAATTGGGTAATACCAATCAAGCCGGGTTGAACATTTGTGTAATACTAATATGGTTGATTGTTACTTATGTGATAAAATGTAATGCTTATGAGAGAAATTGCAATATTTATAATAAAAAATAGAATACTTTTTTTTTTTTTTTTAGAATAAGAAATTAGTTCATTAAATCAGAGAGAAAACAATCAACAAGATAATGAGGAGGCCGGATCATCAAACCACTTCTCGCAACCCTGACATAGAAACGTTACTTCCTTTTAGTCTGGAACGAGGCAATACAATAATTTCAACTAGCTAGCTAGGGCTACTTAGCTTATTTGTAATTCATTAATTGATATTGAGATGACAAAATTTATGTATTCTCAATATAAGGGAAAAAAAAAAACTATTAGACCAAATTTTTTGACTAATATTTATCTCATGATAGTATGACATGTATTAATTGTGGGCAATTGCTTTACCTAGAAAATAACCAATCTCACTACAATGTAATTGTGAATCAAGATCAGATGACATGCATAAAACTTTAGGTGAGAAGTGTGACCTAATATGATCCATCTATCCAGAATAATCATACTTTATTTACTCAGCCACTGCACCCCTTTTGAAATAACTTTTTAATATTTTTTAAATTAAAGTTTGGTGCTACATTTTTTTTTTCATAAGTTATTTAGATAGTGATTAGGATCAAGATTTATATAGTCATGATAATACTACATATTAATTATTGGGCTAAAAAGATGAATTTAATCATGCTCTTAAATTCTGAAATTAAATGGGTTATGGAACTATCAACCAGATTGACAGTTTGAGAATGCTTCATGCAATTTCATAGCGTATATAACAAGTCTTTCCAATTAAGTGTACCCAAATGTGAGTGAATTGAATTATATATGCTATATTTAGAGTGGTTGATATATCACGAATTCGTAGATTTTGGATGGATTTGTGTAACTTTAACGACCAATGTTTAGCAATAAATTAAAACAATTGGCAAAATGGATTTCTTTCTCAGGTTGAATTTGTGTCTGCCCGCTATTTGAAACCTAAGTTGTCATAATTCCTACGAATAATCAAACTTAGAACATTGTGGCTACCAAACCAACTACCAGACTAACTTGTTATTGCTTCCTATATATATATAAGAGTAAATACCCAAAATAGTCCCTTGACTATAGTTAAATTCGTAAATTGGTCCTCGACTTTCAATTTCAACCAATTAAGTCCTTAACTTTGTAATTTTAACACAATTTCGTCCTTTGTCTATTTGACCGTTTGTTGACTGTGATTTTTGAGTATATATATGTAATTTCATGGTCCATCGTCGATTTTTTAAAGTTCTGGTTGCATTTCCAGACCGAACTGTTACATTTGAATCCACTGCCGAAAGCAATCTATCAAATTCGGTCGCCTTTCTTCATCCTCCCTTTGGATTCAATGTAGTTGAGTTCGTACCAGAGCGAAGAAGACGACGTGTTTCCGAACCAGTGCAACGTCATCCTGGAGGCCTCCACGTGCTCCGACGAGAGCTGCAGGTTCTTCTGGAGATCGTCGATGACGGCGTGGCCGCCGGCGTTGATGCAGATCAGAAGTGTTCGAAGGCCTGTTTGAAGTCGGGAATGTAGGGTTTCTATATGGGGTTGAAGATTTTTCGGCCGATTAGGGTGAAGAGGAAGAGGAGCTGCTCCAACACCGGGAGAACGAGCCGGGCGATTGTGGTTATGTTGGATTTTAGGGCTTCGCCGGCGGTCTTTTGAGAGGTTGATTTCGACTTTCCCTTGCGGATCTTCCTGCTCGTAAACGCAGCGTTAGGCTTTGTCGTCGGCGCCCTTGTGCATGCGAACCACGTGCATGAGCCATTACTTGGCCCGACCCAAATCGCGCTTCTTATTAGACACGAGAATCGCGGCGCCGCCCATTTTGAAGTGGCAATCAGGGAGGAGCATAGCTCTCTCCGATCCTTTGTAATAGTTGCGCGTAATAATCTCTGTGCTAACCACCAGGGCGTTAGAGTTGGGGTGCACGTACTAGAGGTCACGTGCGAGATCGATTGAGATCAGGCCGGCGCTGCACCCCATGCCGGAGAGATTATAGCTTTAGATAGATCGATTGCCGAAGTCCCTGGAGCGGCTCTTCAAGAAAGTCGTGACTCCAAGCGATGTAGGCAAGCTGAACCGGCTCGTGATCCCCAAGATGCAAGCGGAGAAGCACTTTCCCCTCTGAAATGGCATTGTCACCTCCAAGAGCGTTCTCTAAGCTGAACCGGCCCGCGATCCCCAAGCAGAAAGCGGAGAAACACTTCCCCCCCGAAACAACGATGTCACCTCCAAGATCACGGTCAACAAACGGTCAAATAGATGGAGGACCAAATCGTGTCAAAATTGTAAAGTTAAGGACTTAATTGGTTGAAATTGAAAGTCGATGACCAATTTGTGAATTTAGCTATAGTTGTGGGACCATTTTGGGTATTTACTCTATATATAATTTCTTATGTTGAATACTCTCTTTCATGTGTGCATGGTGATTAGTTTTTGATGTGTCAGGACTCAATGTTTATCACTACATAAAAAAATTATAACTTATGAAAAAACACTTTGTTCTTTATATTTACTTAACTACAAGTGCAATCTTTTATAACAGGAGGTTTGACCTGACCAAGCTGTTGGCTGTTAGCTGCGTGGGCCGAGTCTTTTCAACGAAACGTGACATGTACTAACTGCTCTGCAATATAAGTAAATACAATTTCGCATACATTCGCTATATATTAACTCTAACTTTTGACATAGTGGTATGTAAGTCCTAATCTGCTGAGGACTATGCAAATCCCTTGATCCTGACACAAGATCTAGTCCAACCACCAAAATTGACATTTATTAATTTTATTAGTATGTATTTTCTAGGCTGAATACGTTTCACTATAAAATCTGGCAACCAAAACTGAGAATTCCTCAAAGTTATTCCGATCCAAAGGGAAATCTTTTATAAAAAGAAGATTAAATTTTATTGTTCAATGGCAATAATGGCCACAATGTTTTCTACATTCATCACGTGCAAACTTCCTTGTCCTCCATCTATTCATAGATCTCATGCATCTAATTCATTTCGCATGTGTTATCACACCACAACTACTACAAGAAGATCTGCCAATTATGGGCCTCCCACCTGGGATTACTCTTACATTCAATCACTCAACACTAATTATTATACTGTAATTAATTTTATTTTTCCAAAAAAAACATTATTAATTTTACTTATGTTAATATAATCCACTTTTCTTAAACATGTATCCATATGAAACTAGAATCAAATGTTGTTTTAAAAACGTTAATTTGCAGGCTGAGAGGTTTGTTACGCGGCGCGACGAGTTGAAGGAGAGAGTGAAGAATATGCTGAAGAATGAAGAGATGGGAGAAGTAGAGAAAATGGAGATGATTGATGAGCTGAAGAGGCTGGGATGTTCTTACCATTTTGAGGAAGAAATCATGGAAGCTTTGATGGATATCTATATGAAGAAGAAGAAGAGTAGTAACAATTACAAGGCAACAGAAGAGAAGGACCTGTATGCCACAGCTCTTGAGTTTAGAGTTCTCAGACAAAATGGCTTTAATATTTCTCAAGGTGATGATAACTTAATAATTTATATCTGCTAACACCAACCAAGTTGGTCAAATTGTTGGCTTGATAACATATCAAAAGGTTTCAAATTTGACTCCGGGTAGGAGTGACCTATTAGTTTTGAGGGAGGTCATCAATTTTGAAAAAAACTTAAAGGGTGCGTTTGAAAACCAAGAAAATGATTTCTGAAAATCATTTTTCTAAGTTTTCAGTGTTTGGCTAGAAGGGGAAATGACTTCCATGTGTAAAAGGGAAGTCATTTTCCATTTGTAGCAGTGGTCCAAAAGCGGATCACCACTACAACCTATATTCTAAACAAAACAATAAAAATATTTTTTTTGGTATATAACAATAATTAAAATAATGTTGAAGTATATAATTTTGCTTATTTTCCGTCTCATTTTCTGGAAAATAGCCAAACACACAAAGACAGTTTTCTACTGTACAGCCAAACACGGGAAAGGAAAATATTTTCAGAAAAACGACTCATTTTCTAGAACATTTTATTGCTTTCCATACGACCCCTAAATTTGTTTACTTCATTATCATCCTTTAATTTGCCGGCTAGGGTCACAAGGTGATCGAAGTCAGCTATGAAAAATCTAGGCTAGTTTATCTCTTATGCTACTTTGTCGACTAGGTCACATGTGAGGTCTATTGGTGCATACCCGTATAACTACGGGTTTCCCAGTCATCCAAAACAGAAGAATTTCTCTCTATATATATATAATACAATGAGTGTATATATGTATATATTGTTGATTGCAGATGTATTTGATGGATTCATGGATGGAAAGAGGTCTGGTTTTAATGCCAGTCTGTGTGAAGATACAAAGGGATTATTGAACTTGTATGAATCATCTTTTCTGTCAATGGAAGGTGAAACAACTTTGGATTTGGCTAGAGACTTTTCTGCCAAGCATCTCAAACATGCATTAGAGATGCCATTACGTTGGAGGATGCCGAGGTTGGAGGCCAGAAGATTCATTGATTCATACGACAAAGGAAAAACAACCTCGAATAATGCCATCCTTTTGGAGTTGGCTAAGCTAGACTTCAACATTGTTCAAGCTGTGCATTTGGAGGACTTAAGATCCGTATCAAGGTACACATTATGTTGTGACTTATTTAGAGTAAAGCTAGTGTCGGGCCTTATTCCAATCATGATCCACACTGTTGTGTAGACCATATTATCAAATAATGTATATTCGGTACATAAATAATATTAATTTTACTATATTAAAAAGGGAAAATGGTCAAA